GGAGCCGTTTACAGATGCATTGTTGGTTTTATTACTCCTCCATTGTTTCCTTTCTGTCTGTATGGGCCAATTTGTCTTGTTAGTTTTTGCCCTTCTTTTTCTCACACTTAACTTTATCCTCCCCTGTGCCGCCTTTTCTTTTCTCTTTATCGGAAACTGCAGCTCATTTTCAACTTCAGTTTATGTCAAAGGAATCTCAGGGATCGTTTGATTCAGGTAAACCCACACTGAGCTGTCTTAAGCCTCGTTTCCACCAAGCGGTCCGGTATCTATCAGTACAGTTTGGTATGTTTAGTTTAGTTTCGATGTTTATTGCCATTTGCACAGGTACAGGACAGTACAGGTACATTGGAATTATTGTGCATTTCTCCCTGAGTCAGCTTCTACAAAAAAGTTAAAATTATATATAAAATAGAATAGCATTGTAAGAAAAAAAGAGAGTACAAAAAGTAAAAATAAATAAGTTGTATTAACAGCTAAGCAAAGATATAATACAAAAAAATAAAAATAACAAGGGGAACACTGTACAATGAAATGAAAATATAAATATGTTTTCTTATTGCACTTATTATCTCTTATTGCACCTGAGGTTATTGCACACATATTTTTCACATTATATAATTGCACTGTTGCATGGTTTGTTTCGGTAAAGGCCCTGACACTCCAAGGGGATCGTCGGCCGTCGGTCCTAGTTGTACCATCGGTGAGCGGTCGTCACCCTAGTTTTTGTGGTGTCTCCAGCTCAGTCGACCCCCGTTGGCCCCCGTCTGCCTCTTTTTGGCCGATCGACATTTTGAATTGGCGAGGAATCTCTCTGATTGGCTGTTTGGAGGTTTTATTTCTCTCCAGCTCTCGACACAGGTTCAGGAAAGCCCCTTGAGCATGCCGCTGTAGTATCCATGCTTTCACCAATTTAGTGCAGTTTTTCCTTATTTGGTCATTCTTCCACTAAAAGGGCTGACAACGCCAGCGCCATTTTCAACTTTTTATCAGACGTTATTCTCCATTAGTAGGCTATCTATAATACAAGTGGTGAGCGACAGCGGTGTGAAAATGGTCGTCTCGTATCATAACAACGGACTACCACCCCCTGCTGGCATGGAGAGTTATTTCCTCTCAAGCATGTGCAGAACGTACGTGGTGATTGGCCGTCAGCTGTAGTCCTTGCGGTGTGTTCTTGTGCAACTTTTTGGCCAAGACATGAGGTAACGCCACAGGTGGTCTTCCTCGCCACCAGTTCTCTGCTGCCTGATTGGCGTGTCAGGGCCTTTAGACTGTATATGTCAACCCGTGCTTCAGGACAGTACAGGACAACTACGCCTCGTGTGAGTGCGCCCTTAGAAACCTTTCTCTGGTTTCTTTTTCTGTAGACTTTACATACAGTACATGAGGAAGAGGTACTGTACTTTTTGTATTTAACCCCTCCCTCCCCATAGAGTCTCTGTTGAAACAGCAGAAGAGCTGAATGGTCAGATTTACCTCTCTCCGTATTACCTCTTAATCGAATTAAGGCGTTAGTTTCAAACACAGTCAGGCGTTTATAATTGCATCTCTCCCTTGTGCATGAAGCTCCATAATGAATGTGGGGGCACATGCACACATGATGGGGATAGGCCTCATTTGCATGACTGTGCAAAATACAGGTATTAATGGTAGGCTCTTCTACCCTTTACGCCCATATAAGGACGTTACCTTGCATAGCAAATGAAGGCTCATTTGAATAATTGGGTTTTTTATGAGAAAGTGACAGCAGGGATCTGCACTGGATGTGATTTTCCTGTGTGTGTGTGTGTGTGTGTGTGTGCGTGCGTGCGTGCGTGCGTGCGTGCGTGCGTGCGTGCGTGCGTGCGTGCGTGCGTGTGTGTGTGTACCTCCTGCCAACAGTCTTTGCATAATCACCTGTGAGATGGTCTCATACGCAGCTTTTCTAAGACTGTTCTCCTATTAAAAGTGACTTCTTCTTATAGTAGTTTTACCTCTCGAAGATGGTGGTTGTGGTGCAGTTTGCACAATGATGGAAAGCCACTTTAAAATGTTATTTGCATGATGAGTATCAGAGTTCAGCAATTTAAGTGAAAAGACAAACAAACAAACATACCCTTCAAAATCTGTAGGACCGAAAAACAAGTAAACACATCCGCACATGTACTCTCACTCACAGCGTCATTATGCAAGGCCAAGAAAAAAGATGCAGCTTGTATCCAAGGCAACCTAAATGAGTCTCAACAGGTATGTGAGCTTTATCTCTCTTTTGCCCAGGAGAGGGTGAGCAAGAATAAAACGAAAGGAGGTGAGGTGAGAGACAGCAAAGAAAGAAACAAGGTGTGGACACTAGATTGGAGGGGGGGGGGGGGGGAGAAGATGAGAGGAAAAGTCAGAGGCTGAATGTGATTAGCAGGAAACAGCAGAAGAAGAAGAAGGAGGAGAAATAAATGGAGAGGGCGGGATGATTGGATCAAGAGGGGGGAGAGATGAAAGGGGCGAGTGGTGCAGAGGGTGAGTCAGAAGGCAATGAGAGTGATTGGGAACTCGCATGCCGCTTATTGCATGCCATGAAGAATAAAGTCAGCAACCAGTCTGCAGGCTGTGTGTGCGTGTGCGTGTGTGTGTGTGTGTGTGTGTGTGTGTGTGTGTGTGTGTGTGTGTATGGCATGATGAAGCAGTGCTAAAACCAAGCAGAAACCTCCAGTGTTTAAAAATTAAGCTGATGCTGAAGTGTAAAATCCTGCAGTTCTTCGAGTGTCCACTAGAGGCTGGCTGCAGAAGCACAAGAAGTCACATACACACCCAAACTAAACAGCCTGTTTTTACAGCAGAGATTAACATGTTTACAGCCTGGTTCAAAAAAACAAATAGGTCTGATTAGCTCATGTCTTGATCGACACACACTGTACGGGGGGGTGAATGTTTTGATGATTCATCAGTTTTGATTTGATGAAGGATAAGAGTTATTCACAATAAGGCGTGTAGCTGACATGATTGACAGGTGGGTGCAGTGTAACAGTTTGTCAGGAGGTTTAAAACCCTCCTCAGCTCCAGCTCTCAGTCTGTTGTTAGGTTGACTGAAAGTTAGACTGAGACAGCATTTCCAGCATGGAGACCGCCATCGATGGGACTCCAGCGCCCCCTGCAGGAACAGATGGGTGACATCACTCAGGCTTCGTCCATTAATATTTACAATGTATGGCAAAAACAAAGGAGCTTGCATGCAGAAATGTAAAGCACTGTGAATATTTTTCAATATACATAAGTATGTACATTTACCCCAGTGTTGTTTTTAACCTGTTTTTTCTTACAATTGGTGAAATGTCATGGAGCAAACGACTCTGTCTGCTATATAGCCTATAGGTTCCATGCCTTGTTTCTGACCAACATCTCCGGTGGTTCATATTCTTACTGTTGATATCATACTCCAAAAATACACAACTATCCCTTTAAGCAAAAACAGCACAGACAGAGCTAACGAAATTACATCTCCGAAAATAAACGATTACACTTGCAGCTAGATGCACACACACACACACACACACACACACACACACACACACACACACACACACACACACACACACACACACACACACACACACAATTTCCATGTCTGCACACATACATGCTCTCAGACACAAACACACAAACACATTTACATTGACTAGTGTCTGGATGACAGAAGGGGCCCAGAGCACAGACGGCCTGTGGGTGAGATGACGCACAAGCACAAACACAAACACACACACACACAGACACACATACATGCATGCACACACACAGACACACACACAGACACACACACAGACACACATGTACACACACATATGCGGAAAAATCTAAATATACTGATTTAGAATACCTTTTTCTTAGAATTGTCAGGTGACAAAAAGAAGAATCAGTGTGTGTGTGTGTGTGTGTGTGTGTGTGTGTGTGTGTGTGTGTGTGTGTGTGTGTGTGTGTGCGTGTGCTCTCACATGTTTGTCACATCTTCTGCAAACCTCTGTGTCAGACGGCTCCTGAAGGTGTTGATTGGGGAGTGTGTGCACGTTTCTGTGTTTCTGCGTTAGTGTATATCTTTTTTTCTTCCATCCCTTTGGCATGAATCATTCACCTCCTGCTCTCTCTCTCTCTCTCGCCCTCTCTCTCTCTCTCCTCCCCGTCTGTCAGTTAGCAGGGGCGTCAGCGTTGCCTCAAAGTCAAACATGTACAGTATCTGTCTTCTCTTCTTGCATTGAGCCACTCACCCGTGAGTTCAAACCCACAGCTTTCTGGAGTATCTTTGGTCACAGAGCTTCTTGCAGCAGAACGGTTCAGATCATAAACCTTTAGAAACCTATCACTCAGTACTGACTGATCTCAAAGCTCGCCACACAGCCGACATAAACGCATCAACAGCCAATCACTCATGCAGTTTTTAGCTTGCATGTTTAAAGAAAGTTACTTTGTTTATGTGCTCGTGGCTCCACTGCCAATTTCAAGGTTTAGGCTTTTTAAATGTTAGGAAATACGCTCTGCTAACTCTTGTCAGCGTTTTGTCTGAATCTGAATCCTTCAGTCTGGATCTTCTTGTCAGGATATTTGAATGTTTTGACTGGGTGTCTGTGTAAGACAGGACTTTCCCATGACCTGATGTAATCGACGGTGTTTGTTTGTGTGTTCTCTGTCTGCTCTTTTTAACCTTGAACATTTTAAATTGATATGCAGATGATACTCTAATGTTCGTCAATGTAAGGACGTTTTAGAACAGACAGCAATGGAGGAGCATTTCTTTTCCAAAAAAAGATATATGTTTTTAAGAGCCACGTCATCTTTAGAAAAAATAATTTATCTCTCATGCAATAATGTCATACTTATAATTGGGACATGATGAATGTTTTAACATGAACACTTTTGAAAACGTCCCAACACGACCTGCTCTAAATGCACTCACCAATGTCTGGGAGATGTAGTCTTTGTGTGTGCTCTTGTAGTCCCTAACATGCCATGTTGTGTTTCATCCGTCCCTGTAGTCTGCACGGTTCGCTGTCAGAAGTTCCTGATCTCGCGGGTCGGGGAGGACTGGATCTTCCTCATCCTGCTGGGACTCCTCATGGCCCTGGTCAGCTGGGTGGTGGACTTCTGCATCGCCATCTGTCTACAAGGTGAGGGGAGGGCAAGGGGAAGTGGGGGGAGAGAGATTGGGCATTTGCACCTCTAAGGCATGAACAGTGTTGAGGAATGTAATTTCAGATTCATTTTTAAGCAAAAAACAGAGAAGGAGTTCTATAATTTACGTTGCAGGGCTTAAATCAGACAGGCATGATCCTTAAGCGGAAGAGAAGAAGAAGGACGCCATTTTCTTAATCAGTGCCTCAACAGGAAGACGAGAATATGTGTGAAGCACTTTTCCTCTCCTGAACAAAATAACCACCAAAACTAGACGCAGACATCATTGTTTTTTTAACCGCCCACATTAAGGAGCAGTATGTAACTCTGACACCTAGTGTTTAAAATGGGTACTGCAGTCCAAATTCAAAACATTGTAGAGAGCTGTCTCCCCCCGCCCCCTCCTCTTTAGAGTCGATGCTCACGCAGGTTGTCATGTGGTGGACACTGAAGCTTCAGTGTTTATCCAGCTCTGCATCGGTCTGTAAACCTTTCTGTGTTCTAACCTCTCTCCATTTTTCAAAAGCATCTCTAATATTGATCCTAGTTTGAGCACGTTTCTGCTCGTGGAGCTTATTAGAAACATGCAGAGGCTTTTTAGGTCGGGTACAATCACTTCTATCTGAACCAGTACTTCTGGATTTCTCCACCCCCCCCCCCAAGCACATTCTCTGCAGACTGAGCTGATGTGTGAACGCAGCAGGAAATATCAGGATAGCTCTGCTCTGCTCGCCTGTAGGTTCTCTCCTACCTCCTCGTGAGCCCCTCAACAACTTAGAAATACATCAAAGATACACAAGTTGCCTGAATGATTAAAAAACATGATATTTCATTACTTACGTGAACTTTCTGCCTCCATGATAGAAAGAGACACTTCATCTCTCAGCTCAAATGAAACATTTTTAGAGGATTGTTTTGGTGCCGACATGAAGCTCGAACAGCTGCGTGTAATAAACTCTTGTGACAGGAATCAGCTTCTGGCCAAACAAACTCATTAAACCACCATTTGGCTCCATGAAGCTTCATCTCCGCATGTGTCGGATCCTTTGACCTCCTTACACTCTGCTCACAAGACTAGTTTTTTACAAATCTGTCCAAACAGGGCTGATGTCTGCAGCTCGCAGACATGCAGGACTTTTAATTGCAGAAAGTTCTGGATGATATTTCAGTTCTGCTAACTTGCAAGACATCCACTTAATGTTGCCTTTCAAAGTCATATTGTTGAAAAAGAAAGAAAGACTGCGCTGAGTCAGGCTGTCAATCTTCATCTACAACCCCGTTTGAGTTTTGAGTTCATCTAGTGTGCAGTTTCTGGTTCTTCTCTTGTTTCATGTGTGTGTGTGTGTGTGTGTGTGTGTGTGTGTGTGTGTGTGTGTGTGTGTGTGTGTGTGTGTGTGTGTGTGTGTGTGTGTGTGTGTGTGTGTGTGTGTGTGTGTGTGTGTGTGTGTGTGTGTGTGTGTCTACAGCACAGAAGTGGATGTACGGTGGTCTGGACAGCAATGTGTTCCTGCAGTATCTGGCCTGGGTCACCTACCCTGTGGTCCTCATCACCTTCTCTGCCGGCTTCACCCAGATTCTCGCCCCGCAGGCTGTTGGTATGACAAGCTCGCGCGCGCACACACACACACACACACACACACACACACACACACACACACACACACACACACACACACACACACATACAAACCCACAGAATTCTTGGATGCAAAGGCACTGAAAGCATCTCAAAAGGTACATGATGCTGCACATACTACCACAGTGCTGGTTCATCAGGTGATCAAGTGCCGATTAATTTGGGGTGGGGGTGTTAGTAGCTCAGTCTGTAGGGACTTGGATTGGGAACTGGAGGGTCGCTGCTTCAAGATGGTGCAGACCAACTCTGGATGTTGAAGTGGTAGCTGGAGAAGTGCCAACTCACTTTCGGAGCATTGCCGAGGTGCCCTTAAACAAGGCATCGAACCCTCGCCAGCTCAGGAGCGCTCGCTGTGTGCAGCCTGACCTGTGGCAGCGTCCATGACATCTGTTGGAGAAAGAAACCCAGGGAGGCGCAGTGCTGCTATAGTTGGGGTTTACAAAAAACATATATATATTCGGGCCAACCTAAAAAATGCCCCCCCTCCTAGAGTCCTAAGACTGCTTCTGTACCTACTGGACGTCCTGTATGTCCGCTTCTGTAGAGATTAAACAAACAGCATTAAACATGATTTAAGCTCACTGTAGAGATGACGATGATGATGTCATTGATGACCTTTAAGTGAACACACATGCTGACTTCATCAACACGACCGCCAGCTGTAAGCGCCCGCTGTGCTCCCTGCAGGTTCAGGCATCCCGGAGATGAAGACCATCCTGAGAGGAGTCGTGCTCAAAGAATACCTCACCTTCAAAACGTTTGTGGCCAAAGTCATTGGACTCACCTGTGCTCTGGGCAGCGGCATGCCTCTGGGCAAGGAGGTAACACACACACACACACACACACAGACACACACACACACACACACACGCAATGCAAAAACAACCTGCAATCTGATAACTGATATAACAATTATAATTACCACAAAGTGCCACCGCTTGAAGTCAGTTTATGTTAGGGGTGCTGGGAGATGTAGTTCTAATTGATGACAGGGGGGGTGACACACAGACAGATGAGATGTTGTGTGTCTCAGCTGCTCACAAACAGGAAGCTCCATCTCAGTCACACTGACTTAGTGAAACTTTTCTACTTTCCGTTCGCGAAGCCGGCCAAAGTCAAAGGTTGAGCCTCATTGTTTGCGAGCCCAGTTCAGCATTGAATCTTTGTTTGAGATCACATACAGAGTCCATGTTGGCACGGAGCTGCAGGCAGGTTCAAATGCCCGCTAACATCCTAAACAAACCGTCACTTTGAGTGTACCAGCCGTCTGCAGCTTCAGCACCAATCATTATCAGTCACTGAAAGGTCACACTGGTGGAGGGGAGCACGCGGGGAAAACTCTGATTTCACAGCAACTGTATCATGAATATATCAGAGCATTCATACATCAACACGCTACAATACATGAACCTCCCAGAGGAGCATTACCCCTCTGTGGCTCATTCACATTCCACTTCCCTGCATCCTCCCAGCATGAATTACAAATGAGTCATAAATGGCACACGGCGGCCTGATATGCTCCGCTTCAGGTCAAGAGCAGGCACTGCGAAATCAGGAGGATGAAGGGAAGAAAGGAGTGTGCCGAGCTGACCTGAGATGGGGTTTTTTTAAAGCCCAGAGGGAGGAGGAGAGACGGGCAGATGTTGTTGTTTATATGGTGTGGACTTGTTTCTGTGCATATCTGCAAGAAATAGTCGTCAACACGACTCGTACACACTGTGCTCTCCAGGAAAAAAAAACAGAGTCCGGTAAGTTTGGTCCCCCTGAAAGACTGCCTAGCCTGAAGACATCCTCGCAGGGAGCCTAAGACACACACACACACATGCACACACACAGACACAGACAGACAGACAGACCCGAGCCCCAGGCCCTTCTGGTTGCAGAAGCCTCCTCAGTTCTGATTCATCGCAGGCCTCTCACTCTTATTTAACTCCAGCATCACTTTTCTGATGCGACGCTCTCACTTTTAATCCTGTTAGTTCCACTTTGAACTTCCTCCCCAGCATGTTAATATTCACTGCAGACAGTTTTTTGATGTCGATGTGTTTTCAAAGAGATTTTCTGTGCTGTCTTGTGTGAGATGCACAGCAGGGGGGCTGCACTGCTCACTTGTAACATCTGCACCTGTTTCACTCCTCTCTCCTTTTGTCAGGGTCCGTTTGTTCACATCGCCAGCTTGTGTGCCGCTCTGCTCAGCAAGTTCATGTCTCTGTTTGGAGGGATCTATGAGGTCAGTCGGATTTTCTGTTTTTGGGTCTTCACACATTTCTGTTTCTCATTTCTTACAACTTCAGATGCTGTGTTCACAGTCCATCACAGTACCTTCAATTAAAACCTTCATATGGTTTTCTTGTAAACACACATGGCACACCTCATACACCTGATAATAAAACCATTCCTTTCACCACTTCTTGTGTAAAATCTGCATATAAAACCAAACCTCTATGAGTATGTCTTCTGGCCTCTGACGGCTCCTGCTGCAAAGATTGTAAAGTGTAAATTGTAAGTGTGCTAAATCGTAGATCCAGCTGTCTGACTGCCCTTCAGATTGTTGTGTATACTCGGGCTGTGGACTGCATTCGACCTGGACCAATGTGATGTCACACTTTGGTTGGTGATCTAACGTTTTGATTGCTTTTGGCTGTTGCCTTCAGGGGACTCCAGCGCCCCCTGCAGGAACAGACGAGTGATGTCACTCAGGCATCGTCCAGTAATATTGTCAGTCTGTGGTATGGTTAAAGATTGGGAAAAAAATCTGTGAATCCACAATTTCTTTACTCATTTCCATTAAAATGTTGTCTTAGTTCTCTTTAAACTCGACCAACAGTTATTGCAGATTTTTTAAACGTTGAATCGATTCATCATTCGGCTCCAAAAAGTTATTTTCATGTTCAGATCTGACGGAGAGAAAATTCAGCACGATACAAATGGAAGCGTCATTAACGGACAGGAAGAGAGGGGATCAAAAACGAGTGTGAAAAAGAAGGAAGGAAGGAAAGCAAATCATTTCCTACTTCATCATCTCCTCCTCCTCCTCCTTCCTCTCAATCTTCTCCGTCCGCTGGGATCGAGGAGGGCAGAGAAAGTCTTATTTCTCATCTCTCTCTTTTCTCTGAAGATGTGAGCTCCTCTCATAGGAAGGGGGGGGGGGGGGGTGAAGAAAGTACAGAGGGCAGTGAGACAGAGACCTGCGGGTGCCAGAGCCCCAAAGTCCCCGTGCTGCTTCCATAATACAGCCTTATACTCTTTTATATACGCTGATGTCATCAGCTTTAATGTCTCTCTGCAAAAATAAGATCCAAACTGTCCTAATGCAACACTTTTTAACGAGACATATTCACATTAAACATTTCTCTAATTATTGAAGTTCATAAAAGTTCTTGTTTTAGCACTAATATGTGTCGCTAGTCTGTTTACAAAGCCCCCAATGATGAGAAAAGTCCATCCTCTTCATCTTTTGCCTCCTCCACTTTTCAGAAAATGTGTGCTCAAACAGGCCATTTGGAGATTTTCCCTTCATGACATCACAAAGGGCAGTAACCCCTCCCCCAGGTGGGTGACACTCCCACAACTAGGTGTTTGTTCTGCCCTCTGAGTCTGCCTTCTCACCGTAAACAATAGGACATGGAGTGAGATAGCCCGAGACACCCGAGCCCTTCCAGAGAGGGGGCGTGGTCAGACACAGCTCATTTACATTTAAAGGTACGGACACAGAAACAGCCTGTTCTGATCAGGGCTGAAATAGAGGGGTTTATAGACATGATCAAATACAGGATCAGAGTGGATTTAGAACAAGAAACTTCACACACATGTTTTGAGGAGCTCTGAGACTTGTATACGCTGGTTGAAGAGGAGGAGAATATGTGACCTTTAAAGAAAATCTAACATGTCTCAGGCATTCAGACAGACTTCAGATTATAAGTCACTCTTTCCCTAAATTTTCCATTTTCCCTTTTTTAACTTATATTTAATAAGTTAATATTTCCACCTGACTGTCTCTCTCTTCCGTTCTCATCATCATCATTCTTCATCCTCCTCCGTATATGTCAAGCATGTTCGGCTCAGTGATAGCAGCAGGAACAAATCTGTTTTAGTATCGCTTTGTTCTGCGGGACTAAAAACCTCAGTCCAGGGGGAAATCACCATGCAAAGGGGGGGAAGGGGGGGTCATCGTTTAAAACAGAGATATGTACTCTAACTAGTACACAGAGACACTGGGTAGAGTATCATCTCTGGTCTCGACACCACTTTTTGAAGGTCTCGGCCTGGTCTTGGTCTCAGATTGGGCAGACTCCAGATTTTAAATCAAGACTGGTCAAGACCACCACTAATCGGCAATTTGTTCCACGACCCCTAGGAGTCATGGTCTTGGTCTCGACTCTCTCTCTCGGTTATTGTGGTCTTGACTACAACACTAATCATCATTATTGTCACCATCCACATCGTTTCCCCGTAACCCTCTGTAACTTTTTCCCTCTCTCTCTCTCTCTCTCTCTCTCTCTCTCTCTCTCTCTCTCTCTCTCTCTCTCTCGTGTTGTGCTGCATTTTATTGCATATTTATGCTGAATCTGTGTGTGTGTGTGGGTGTGTGTGTGAAGTGTCCCTCTGCAGCTCTCTCGCTCTCTCTCTCTCTCTCTCTCTCTCACTCTCCAGAGTTTGAAGTGCGGTATGCTAATGTAGCCTGTGGGCTGTAAAAACCTGCTTTCTGTTCCACCGCTCTTTTAGATAGAGTGTCAAAAAGAGGGATGAGTAGTACTCCACACACACACACACACACACACGCACACATGGAATACACCATGGTTTCCAAACAGCAGACACATCATCTCATAATATTTCTGAAAACATGTTTTTATCACGTGCACGTTGGCTTGTTTATTGATTTATGACAATGAGTGTCTGGGATTTTCTCGATTTGCAGCGCTGCACACCGAGACAGCGTTTTTAAGTATCAACATTCATTTATATCAAACGAGTATCTGAACTTTGTTTTTGATTCCAATGCTACACAAAGGAAGACACCATGAAGGTAACTCCAAGCATGCTCCACTGTCCAAAGGCTTTATGATATTTATTAATTAAATGATTTTAACGGCTTCTCCTGTTCAATAGGAAGCCTGACACAGAAAGTACCTTTGGGAACTTTTGGGTCACTTTTCTAGAGTTTAAAATAATCGTCTAACTTATAGAGGCTGCATGCTGCTGCAGTGGTTAGCTCTGTTGCCTCACAGTGAGGAGGTTCCTGGTTTGAAACAGCAGCCTCTCTGTGTGGAGTTTGCATGTTCTCCCCGTGCATGCGTGGGTTCTCTCCGGGATCTCCGTCTTCCTCCCACAGTCCAAAGACATGCTCGTTAGGTTAAATTGTGAATCTAAATTGCCCGTAGGTGTGAATGTGAGTGTGGCTGGTTGTCTGTCTCTATATGTCAGCCCTGTGATTGACAGGTGACCAGTCCAGGTGAAACCCAGCCCCTCGCCCAGTGCTCCAGCCCCCTCAAACTCAAACCTTTACTTTTATTTTGTTAACCTGGCACCGCTGTAATGAATAAATATGAAACTCCCAGCTCATCTGTCTCATGTTTTTTCCCTCTCTTTAGGGCGGACATTTTTATGAATGTAAATCAGCTTTTAGCGAATTCTCATGAGCTCTCTGTGAACAGGAGCCATAGATCAAGTAGAAATGAGAATTGAGAGGAAGTGTTAGCGGAGGAGAGAGAGAGAGAGAGAGGAGAGTCTGAATATCACTCACAGACCTCGAGAGAAAAGATATCTGGGAAGTAAAGGAGAAAGATTCCTGCATGGAGCCCGATGTTTGTCTGCTGATCATGCGTCTGTGATCATAAATGAGTGAGTTCAGATCATGAAGTGATGAAGAGGTGAACGTGTTCAGACTCATGTGCTGTTCTCCGCCATGTAAACGTTCAACAGGAGTTCTGGGACACGTGATTTAAACGTTCCTTCCATCCTGAAGGCGTTTTTCTAAACATCTGATCTAGATTGACACATTTTGCTGAGCAAGCTGTATTTGGACTTTATATCACTCTGTGACTGCACGTGTGTGTGTGTGTGTGTGTGTGTTTGTGTGTGTGTGTGTGTGTGTGTGTGTGTGTGTGTGTGTGTGTGTGTGTGTGTGTGTGTGTGTGTGTGTGTGTGTGTGTGTGTGTGTGTGTTGTGTGTGTGTGTGTGTGTGTGTGTGTGTGTGTGTGCAGCCGTACAGCATGCTAAATAGACTTCAATATTACATGTATACATTTGTAAGAACAAGAAAAGCCTTCAGCATAAGTGTACAGTAGAGGGAGCAACACACACACACACACACACATTCACTACTCCTCTTTATCTTTGACATGCTGCTTGAAGGAAACCAGTCTCATAGGAATGACGGTGAGTACGACCAGGCATGGCTAAGAACAACTGCAGCTCAATCCCCCATAATGCACCATGCCCCCTTGACCCCCTGACCTCCTGTTATGCGGTCATGCAGTTCAGTGTTGTATGTATTAGTTGTTGTTGTTATTTTCTTCTTCCTGTGGTTGGACACAATAATACAAACACCTAATGAAGGATGCTTCCTCTCATTCCTGAAACTATCTGGCCTGTCAGAACCAAACAGGTGAAAAGGTCAGAGGTCAAAATAAGTCATTTTGATGGACATACTCTAATCAGTGGCCTGTATTTGCAGACTTATGTTCCAGCAGTTAGAGTCAGTTCTGCAGTTGTCAGCTAAAGCGACGAACCGGGGAAATATCAGGATGACTTTGTGCCTGTTTGGAATTAAAATATACAAAGATGACTGTTTTAAAAGTGTGTGTGTGTGTGTGTGTGTGTGTGTGTGTGTGTGTGTGTGTGTGTGTGTGTGTGTGTGTGTGTGTGTGTGTGTGTGTGTGTGTGTGTGTGTGTGTGTGTGTGTGTGTGTGTGTGTGTGTGTGTGTGTGTGTGTGTGTGTGTGTGTGTGTGTGTGTTTCAGAATGAGTCGAGGAACATCGAGATGCTGGCAGCCGCCTGTGCTGTGGGAGTGGGATGCTGCTTCGCTGCCCCCATAGGAGGTGAGTGATGGTAACAGTGACATGAGTCTGGCACACAACAGAGTGTAGGTGTGTTTTATTGACTGTTGTCCTCTAACGCAGCGTGTAGTAACACATGACTCAGTAGAAGGTAATATCTCTGTTTGTACACTTAATAACACCTCAGGTTCACTTTGAATCAGCTCATCTTACAACACGTGTGAGCGTTTATTTCGCTAATGAAGGAACAGTGTTAGGATGAGTCTGAAGGTTACATTCAGATATCAGAAGTAAAGATTACTCATCAACCTTCAAGAACATGTCTGAGAGTGAAATGAAGAGGAACACTCTGAGGGCTGGATCCACTAAGGGTCGTTTAGGGACCCGAGCTAGGATCTGAGTGCACCCTCTGGTTCATTTGATCAGGGTGAACACACAGCTTGTTTGACTCTGGTACCGTGCCCGTGTCCGCTAGAAGAGGTGGTCTTGGGCATTATTCATGTGTACTTGAGTACGGTCTGCAGGAGATGTGAACGCAGCCGTGCTCAAACAAGGAAGTTGACCGCTATATGACGTAATTCTGTTTCTTCAAAATCCGTCGTATCCGTGCGCCACGAGCCCGTTTCGTCCTCTTAGCTGCATGGTGGATGTGGACGCAGGAAGACGCAGGAAGAGGGTCGTTGCTGGCGTCTCAGAAATAATAAAAACATCCGCAGTTAGCAGGATGGACTCAGTCTGTGAGTGGTTGCCATGGTTACAGATGCAAACCAACTATGTGCATACTGCCACCTGCTGTATCGGACTGTGTGCATACACATGAGTACTCGGGTATGGAATGATGTCACTAATGTGAACACAGACCAGCGGGCGAGGAGGGGCGGGGTTTTTAATCGTGCTCCTGCACGGTCCAAAACAATCGTGCCTGATGTTTCGCCCTTGGAATGGATTGCACCCACTAATGAACTGTGCAGAAAAGGCACCCACAATCTGCCCTGTTTCAACACCCTATTCACAAAAGAATTTGCACTGATTATATGCCGACGCTAACACGCCCTCCGTGCAGTCCGCTCTTGTTTAGCGTCTGAATGTGGAGAAAAGCCGTCTGCGCCTTTACTCTGTGCAGAGATGAGCTCTCAAGCTTTATTGAGATTTCCATGTTTAAATATCATAAATGTTTGTTGTGTGTTTTGTGTTTCAGGTGTGTTGTTCAGTATTGAAGTAACATCCACGTTCTTTGCGGTGAGGAACTATTGGAGAGGTTTCTTTGCTGCTACCTTCAGTGCCTTCATCTTCAGAGTGCTGGCCGTGTGGAACAGAGACGAAGGTGAGGATGACCAGGGCTCGAGTTTAAAGGTGGTGCAAAGACTATTGTTCCACTGATAGATGACATCACAGCTTCTCCTAAAAGTGAAGCTCCCCGAACAGACAGGCTGCAGAATAACACCGTGTCCTATCAGAAATGATCGATGTGTCCATGCTGCTTGCAGAGCTTCTGACGTCGCTGAAACACATACATCTTAATGATGGCGCAGAAGGAGCAGCACAGGTGTAGCTGCTAACATTAATGTCTGCTGAAGTTAGACCTGGAACTCCTTAATGGCATGCAGCCGTCACTATTGGTAACCACACCTGGGCACTCCAGCTGTGTGGGAAAACGGCCTCAGGCGGGGACAGGTGGGCTGTCGTATGTGAAGGGACTGAGGGATAACGGAGGCTGTGGGACGGAGCCAGGGATGTAAATGTGGTTTCTCACCTAGCAGAAAAGGAAGCAAAGTTTTAGATTCCAGAAGCAGATGTTAAAACTCGGAGCCAATCCAATGGCGTCCTCGGGATTTCGAGCGTCTCGTTAACCCAATGTATGTCAACATTTTCTACACCTCTCTGTTTCCCAGAGTGCACTCTGGTAATGTTAAGTAGAAGCTCGGTTCAGCTGAACTTTCTGTCTTCTTCTCCCTTGTCACCGTTCGTTGTACACAGAACTCCAGCTGCCCTGTCACGTGTTTAGAGCGCCGCGTCGGAATGACAGACCCCTGCCCGTCTCTGTGGACTTTAATGATGAAGATGATTGTTTGGGCTCGTTCGCTTTCTTAACTCATGATGTCATCTTTGTTTTCCCTCTCCAGAGACCATCACAGCACTTTTTAAAACGCGTTTCCGGCTCGACTTTCCCTTTGACCTCCAGGAGCTTCCCGCCTTCGCCGTCATCGGGTGAGTCTTGACTCGAGCTTTTCCCATTTTTATCTTTTCATAACTGAGTATAGATGAGGAGCTTAGAATGTGACGAATGATTAAAACCATGGCGGTATGAACAACACACACACACACACACACACACACACACACACACACACACACACACACACACACACTTCGCTCTCAGTGTTCTCATTTGAAAACAGTTCAACTTTTTGAAAAGCGCTCGTCGATGTCTCTTCTCCCTCACTGACCAATCCCAATAAAGACGGGGCGGGACTTAAAACGTCAGTTTTGTCAACAACAACAACAAACTCCTTTCCAGTTTGGTTGTTGAAAATAACTTGGTTTTTTTTCCACCTGATGCTGCTCTCAGAGTGGAAAAGTTTGTGTTTCCTGTCCACAGAAAGTTGAAAAATTCAGAACAGGGACTCGTTGTTTTTGCCCATCTGGTTGTTCTGACAGGAATTCCCATTTGCAGAGACGGCGGCTTTAATTCAGATATTATTCATGCGCTCCTCTCGCTGTAGCTGGTGGAGGTGTTACCTCAGGGTAGCCGGCATGAGTCACCTAACATGGATAATTCAGCCGGCAACAGTTGCTTTCTCACTGAGGCATGTCTTATTTTATTCTGCCTTAGCCTCCGGGCTCCACTATGGCTGTGAACGATACCACGCACTCCTCAGGGGATGCTCTCTATAACGCTCCAGCTCTCACTGCATCTCAGATGAAGAAGCACCTGCTCGCGTGTTACTCTGCCTAACTCCCCTAGAGAGAGAGAAATCCTCCTCCTTTTTCTTTTAAATCTAGTCTTGGCTCTTCATCTTCTGGCCTTTTTATTGTCCTGAGGTGATAATGCCCACTGCTGCACCAGTGCACATCCTAACAGTCCCTCCAGAGCAGGCAGCAGAGTTTATATTCCTGCTTTTACACCATCAGATAGCGTGCTAGGACATGTCTGCATGTCTGCATGTCTGCATGTCGTGTGTCATGTCGATTGTAACTGTGAAGGAGAAGTCGGTCAGTGTCTCAGTCAGCTGGGCCACAACAAGTTAGGCTACAGGCAGCCAAGGCCACGTCTTCAAAGTGTCTCTCTCTTTTCTTTCCCCGGTTTAAACCGTCAGGCGCCAGTGGAGAGAATCACGAGGAAACAAGGATGCTTAGTACGAGGCATCAATCAATCAATCATTATTTGTACAGCGCCAATTCATCACAAGTGTTATCTTGAGGCGCTTTAAAAAAGAGCAGATGGGATAATATGCAGGAAGGATTTCTCCTTTGTATTCCTCTCGTTCCTGTTGTCCACACTGCCTCGCCGCTGAGGTGGAGGTCGGAGCAGGCGGTGCAGGAATGAGGACGGGCGGTGGTTGTGGGGACGACACAGTCCGATGATGGAGGGTTGGCGTCGAGTGATGGTTGGGACGACACAGCCCGATGTGATGTACCACACCCTGCAGCTTCAAGGTCCACACTATCATATCCCTAACCTCACCTCGGCTGCAGAGGACACAAAACGAAGACTCCCTCATCATCCTGCTCATTACTTATTCAGATGTATTTGACAGAATTAATAATGCAGCAGGATAAATTTATAAGCATTAGGTTGTCTGCATGACTATTCTGTCTTTCCCTCTCAGAGCTCTGAAGAGGACTCCCACTGAGCGTTTAAATTAATGCTTATGTAAACCTCTCGGCTTTGACTCCTCCGCACAGCTCGTTTTCCCTCATCTGTATCTCTTGCAAATCTTTTTTCACTCTCTTAACATCCTGTTTGTACAGATCTCTGTTCCCGTATGTGGCTCCGACTGTAAATATAAATTGACTCACGTGGAGCAGACTCATTCTGTGTTTTTATTTTGAGGCTAAATGCAGCAGAGAGGACTCCTGAAGGAGGTGTGAGGGAGAAGAATACTACTCATGAAGAAGTAAGTCGAGGCAGTTCCCTGCAGCTTTTATTGCAAATACACAAATAGATCCACAAACACATTCACAGATCTGCAAATCTGTAAAGTTCTTTGTAACTGACCACACCGTAACATCCGGTATAAAAGTCTCACCGGTATCTAAGATGCAAAGACAGAACGGTTTTACACTCTTGCTGCGTGACGATTTCTATCGTGTTCAATAAAGTCTAAAAGATGTCGTTTGTGTGCAGCTCTTTAGTACCGTCTGTTTTGAGTTTGCTCCTCCTATCTTCAGTATGCTAGTCGAGCTCTCGGCCTGCGGGGAAAGTTGTGACGTACAGACCCTCGTCCCTCGAGTCGCAGTGCCCACCACCTCTGGTCACTCGTTGACTTTAAATCTGTCCAGCACTCCAGAAGTTTTATTCTACTGAAAAGAATACTTCTGTTTGCTTTAAATGCACCGTGATGACCTCATGATGGAGAGAAGATAGTAAAAAGCTTCTAAAACACAATTAACAGGAGTGAACTTGTTTCAGTGTGTGATGGTGAGAGCTGCACTCTTGGTAATGACGTTCGCGCCTCAGTGTTTTATATTGGTTAATTGGTGGCACTGGTATATAGGATGCAGCCAACGTTCTAGATGAAATACAGGGTGTTAAAAGTGCGTCTTATACACCGGATTTAAAGGTAGTTAATAACGGCTGTAACGCTGAAAATAATAGGGTCTTCATCTGGCCTTCTGGGATTTTTAAAACACTCCTACTTCTTCATGTAAGATCCTCAGCTTTGTAACACTACCGATAAACGTCTGTGGGCGAGGGTTTTTTTTGCCCTGAGCTAAGGCTCACAGGCTCATCCTGGTTTACTTTAGTCCACTCAGCCACGCTGGTCACTCATCATTTCAAGCACCACACGGGGTCTTTTTATTAAATATGATGTCAGTGTTTCCTTTGAATGTATGATTATGACACAATGAAGGAGACAAGCAGTCAAAATGGCACCTTCAGGATTGGCTTGTCACTCATACTCCATACATGTAACATATCTTATTCATCTTATTCTCTCAACCCCCCCCCCTCTCTCTCAGACGTTTGCTGTACCCTGCACTGGTTACTTTACTCGTTTCCACACTCACATTCCCCCCAGGCTTCGGGCAGTTTATGGCTGGCAGAGTAAGTTCTCATCACATGATGTCATTTTCTACACATAGAGCAGAGCAAACATTACAGCACGGCTCTCAGACCTGCAGAAACAAAGAATCTAATGTTTCATTTCTTCACTTAGTAAACTAGTAGTCAGACCTTTATCAGCAGCCTTTCCTACATCAAGTAGGATGCAGCTTACATTCTGACTGTTATATAGGTTAAATTTGGAGGAATGTTTATTTATTTGCAAAGTCATTTTACAAAAAACTGTTGAAAACTCATCATAAAGGTCTGTAGCTTTAAATATGTAAATGAGCTGTGTCTGACCACGCCCCCTCTCTGGGAGGGCTTGGGTGTCTCAGGCTTTCTCGCTCCATGTCCTATTGTTTACAGTGAGAAGGCAGACTCAGAGGGCAGAACAAACAACTAGCTGTGGGAGTATCACCCACCTGGGGGAGGGGTTACTGCCCTTTGTGATGTCATGAAGGGAAAATCTCCAAATGGCCTGTTTGAGCACACATTTTCTGAAAAGTGGAGCCGGCAATGACAGAGAGGGTGGACTTTTCTTATCATTGGGGGTTTGTAGACGGACTAGAGAAGGAGATTCGCAAAAAACTCAAAATAAACCAGAGCTTTTATGAACTTCAATAATTAGAGAAATGTGAAAATGTCTCGTTAAAAATTGTTGCATCACAACAGTTTGGCTCTTATCTTTGCGGCAAGCCATTAAAGTTGATGACATCACCGTATTTACAAAGTATAAGGCCGTATTAGAGTTAGAGAAACATGGTGAAGAGATTTTTAGTCGGCTTTGAAGAAAGGTCACAAAGCTCCTCTGTTGCATTTAGCAAATTAATGAAAATGAGAAAAACAAAAGTTAAAAATTGTTGCATCACAACAGTTTGGCTCTTATCTTTGCGGCAAGCCATTAAAGTTGATGACATCACCGTATTTACAAAGTATAAGGCCGTATTAGAGTTAGAGAAACATGGTGAAGAGATTTTTAGTCGGCTTTGAAGAAAGGTCACAAAGCCCCTCCCCCTGTTGCATTTAGCAAATTAATGAAAATGAGAAAAACAACAAAACTTTTTGTCTTACCTTCAGCTGACCCAGAAGGAGTCTCTGGTGACTTTACTCGACAACCGGACTTGGGCCAAACAGGGCATCGCTGAAGAGTTTGACTACATCGGACACTCTGCGGCCTGGCAGCACCCACAGGTCAACGTCTTCGTCACGCTGGTCCTCTTCATCGTCATGAAGGTAGGCGAGAAGCCCAAGATGACAGAACATCTGTCCGTGTGTTATCCGATCCTTCACTCGCTCTCTGGTGCAGGATGTCTTCTGGTACATTATGTTATATCCACACATACAGTCTCTACAGGGGCTTTACAGATAAAGGAAGGTCATGAGGAGACAGTGATTGAACACGGCCGTATTATAAATGGGGATGGTTTGCCCTTTTTATTCGATACTGGCCCCGGGCTAATGGGAAAGGATTGGAACGGAGCCCATCTCTTCTCGTCGCTGGAACAAAGGGAGAGCAGTGCTGGAAACTCTCGCTCCCTTTCCTGTGTCACAAAGTTACGTCCCCCGGAGTTCATTTAAAGTTTTTCAGTCCGCTTTGATGCCGCATCGCTGAGCGAGAGAGATGATGGGATCCGTTTAGAGAGAGACCGTGGTGCTCAAGACGTCCACCATTAGAGAAGTGATACTGCTTCCTGATCACAAGAGGGCGCAATTTTAAAGGAGTTTTATAAAAATCTTTAAAAACTTTATGTTGAACATTTCAGTAAATTTGAGGACAAGAGGACGTCCTTACTGGGTTGTTGGATCACAGCTGATTACATTTTTTTCTGGAATAAAAGGTTTGAGGTGGGGGTGCTGGTGGCGCAGTGGTTAGTGCGTGCACCCCACATTTGGAGGCTGTAGTCTTTTATTTTTATTTTTTTTGTTAAAGGTTTGTGGTGAAGATGCAGTACTCACCGTGTCCCTCTTTACCCCTCTGAGACTGAAAACCACTTTGAAACAGAGTTTTGGAACAAAGCCACTGCACTCTTGGCCCCAGTGGGGAAAAAAACTCGCCTGTATTAGTTAAAATGCCAACGTCTCGCCGCCCGTCTTAAGGTCTCTGTCCCTCTTAATAACTGAAGTTTGAGAGTTCAGACAAACTCTGTGACCGGGCACTTTGCCTGTTTCTATTACAATCTCTCTTTCAGGCCAGCTGCAGAGGAGAGCTGCTTTTGATGTGATTAGATCGGCTTTATTACGTAAACCTCATTGACTTTGGCAACTCCGTTTGGCTGAAATAAAACGTTGTTGAGAATCCAAATAAACCCGAAGGTAGTAAATCGGCTCTCATCATAGTAAGTTGTTTGTGTCAAAGTCTGCAGGAACCTGAGTGTCAGGATTGATGACCAGCTAACATTGAAGGTCCACATGGCCTTGATCCCCTGGTCCTGTCCAGTTGCCCTGTACAACATCAGTAAGACCAGACCTTACCTGTCAGAGCTACACAGCTCCTGGTTCAGGCTCCTGTGATATCACATATTGTAACTCTCCACTGGCAGGTCTTCCTACATGAACTATCACACCCCTGCAGATGATCCAAGACGCAGCCGAGTGACTGGTCTTCACTCCGCTGTTCATCTCCCTCCAATGGATCCCAGTTACTGCTTGCATCAACTCCGCTGCTCGCTTACAAAACAGCCACAAAACGGCTCCTAGCTTATGGTGATTTCGAAAGGCAGACTCCGACGCCACTTCTGGGTCAAAGCTTGGCGTGGGGACTGTGAAGCATGCGCAGAGCGCCAAGTCCAGTTTGGGTCCGATTGAGTTGTATACATGCAAGCGGAAATTGATCTCCATCGGCATTATCAAGGTGTGTTAGTCTGACTAACTCTGACTAGTCGGACTAACTCAATAAATCGACTTTTGTAACTGCATGTAAACTCACAGAGTCTGATGGCTGTGTGTGTGTGTGTGTGTGTGTGTGTGTGTGTGTGTGTGTGTGTGTGTGTGTGTGTGTGTGTGTGTGTGTGTGTGTGTGTGTGTGTGTGTGTGTGTGTGTGTGTGTGTGTGTGTGTGTGTGTGTGTGTGTGTGTGTGTGTGTGTGTGTACACAAGAACACGGGGTCACCGTCACCAGAGACAAATTCAGCTTTTCCAGATGTGACACAGAGGTGAGATGAGTACAGTGCAGGGACACAAACATGTGCACACTTTTCCAACTTTAATCCCCCACCTGCAAAAATCTCATCAAGTTGCTCTCACCATCTATGTCACATCTTTCCTCTCTCACACACACACACACACACACACACACACACACACACACACACACACACACTGATACATACAGCATTCAAACTGAGGCTGTAATGGCTCTGTATAATTACAGCCTTTGCTTTTCCCCCTGGTGATTTTCAAAGAGGAGATTGCTCGCTCCCTCTCTCCCGTTCTCGGTAATGAATGGTTCTTTTATTCCGCATGGCAGCCATCTTGTCTTGTTGCTTCTTTTCATGCAGATACTTCTGGACAGCTCTCGTTCCAGCTGCTAAACTTGTGAAGGTGCGTGGAAAGATTCTAGGAAGTAGATGCTGACAGGTCGGCAAATAAAGCTGCTGTAAAAACTTGAATTACATGTGGGAGGCAACAAGGAGGCGAGAATGTGTCGTAGGCGCAGAGGCTGCTTCTGTTTGTTGATGAGATGAGCGTAAGTGGGGGAACTTCTGTGAAAGTTTGAAAGTATTTGTAACTGTTAAGCACACCTGAAAAGACACACAAGAACACACACATGAACACACACTCACTTGCAAACTCACTTGGTATTCTTTGCAGCTAAGTGCTATTTTTAGTGGTGTTCAATTATCCCCATCAGCAGCTCTCAGTGAGGGATGTGTTTATTAATACAGGTGTGTGTGTGTGTGTGTGTGTGTGTGTGTGTGTCCTACAAGCTGAATGAGTCCTCTGCTATCTGTGTGTGTGTGTGTGTGTGTGTGTGATTGTTTGGGTATGTGTGAGACACATTGACAGAGTGCTGTGCGACACTGTAATTGGAGTGGGAGTAGAAGAAGGGCCCCTGAGGGTCCCCTGAGGCCCCCAGGCGATAGACTGTCCTCTCAATGTGACACACACACACACACACACACACACACACACACACACACACACACACACACACACACACACACACACACACACACACACACACACGAGCATGGACGGCTCCCAGATGACTGACAAATTAAATGGAATATAAATGTCCTGAATAGTGCGTCATAACTCATACCCTTGACCTGAGTATCCTCCACTCGTCCCATCTTTCCACCTCGCTCCTGTTGTTCTGCAGCAGCGCTCTCTGTAGTCGAGTTCCTCTGTTTCACCTTGTTTATCTGTGTGTTAGCCACTTTTCTGACAGTTAAAATATGATTAAAGACAATAAAGCAAGGTTCATTCACAGCCAGGGGGCATAAAGTGCAGTAATAGGTGATAAACTTTGCTCTCACCGGTGAGCTTTAACATTCTTTTGATTATAAATCTGAATGAAAGTCGGTCGTAGATCACTTTTTAATTGACCGTGTTTGAAACCCTCGGGCATATAGCAGAATTTAAAAATGAGACTTTTATTTGAAGCGCTTGGATGGCTGCTTTTTAAAATTAAAGTATACAAAAACAAAAGTATAAGGGATGGATTATTAAATAATGGGTTTGTCTGCTTTAATGTAAGCTAAACATTAGCATACCTAGCTAACTATCTTTCTGTATAGTAACTAAGTGTGACTATCATTGGCTGGAATCAAGAGTGTTTTACAGTGGAAATTAAACAAGAAATATGGTATTTAAAGGAGCAATATGTAACTCTGACACCTAGTGTTTAAAATGGGGACTGCAGTCCAAATTCTAAACATTGTAGAGAGCTGTCTGCCCCCTCCTGTCTAGAGTCGATGCTCATGCAGGTTGCCATGTGGTGGACACTGAAGCTTCAGTGTTTATCCAGCTCTGCATCGGTCTGTAAACCTTTCTGTGTTCTAACCTCTCTCCATTTTTCAAAAGCATCTCCAATATTGATCCTAGTTTGAGCACGTTTCTGCTCGTGGAGCTTATTAGAAACATGCAGAGGCTTTTTAGGTCGGATACAATCACTTCTATCTGAACCAGTTCTCTTACCCGCTTCCATCACTGCAACACCTGTTGACCTGATAACTGCTCTCATATCTGGCAAACCGAGGGGCCTCCAAAACGGCCGTGTGGGGGTGTCTTAAAACTGCCTACGTTCTCTGGTCCAAACAAATCCAGAGCATTCAGGACCAGAATCTAAAGTCAGAAGGAGGACATACTGGCTGCTGCATTGTTGTCAGAGAAGCCAGCACTTCAACATAGCATGTTTCCTTCATGTCTGATCATATAGTAAGGTCACTTTATCACCAAGTTGGGCTACAGTACCCATTTTAAGCACTAGGGGTCAGAGTTACATATTGCTCCTTTAATATCTTACTGCCACGACTTGCTGTTATTTTTACTTTTGTCTTCACTTGCTAATAAGTCAATAATACACATTTAGGTAAATTAATTATTGTTTTTAGCCAAATAAAAGTCATTGTTTAGGCCGATAGGACCTCGACAAAAGCCCCCCAGTGACAATAACATCAGAGTGGATTCATAAGACAGCAGCTGAGAGTATTTGAGTCCAGAAACAAAATTTATAAAGTCTCCTTATTAAGTCCGACTGAGTTTAATAACTTCTCTCTCCTTGAGCCCTGAAGCAGCTCTATAGCTTATAAGTCTCATTAAAGGCTCCGTCAAAATGTATGTGCTTCATTTAATCATTTCTAATTGGATCTTAATGTAGAAAGTTTTCTATAATAGCTTTTTCTTTCAGCACTTTTAGGTTTTTAAACCGACAACCTGATCAAACCCCGGCTCGCTCGCTGGCTTCTCTCCCCGACAGTGCATCCAAGTCAGCGTGAGGTCGAGGATCCTCATACATTTTGATGGTCATGCACTTCCTCAGTGAGACGTACGCTCAGTAGATTACATTAGATTAGATTACATGAAATATTAATAATTCCTTTAGAGGAAAGTGACTCATTCCTTCTGCAAAGATTTGATTATAGCGACGGATAGGGGGGCAACAAGTGTCCTGCAGAATCATGGATGCTTTGATTCATGTCCGAGCTACCGTCTTTGAAAAGTTGCCGTGATTTGCTGGACAAGTCGTTTGGTGCCCTCTGCAGATTTATCCTGGGATTACTCTAACATGTGCTGAAATTTAGTAAAGACATTAAGCATTGTGACACTGTATGTGAGTTTTAAAATGGGGATCAGCAGAATATACTGAAACTCTTCAAAGAAATGACATCACATTGGGATACCAGTGTAGGCACCTGCAGACATTTCATTTTATTTTACCTTTAATACTTTTATTCTTGTACGGTGGAGTTTTCAGAGCTTGTAATATTCCTGCGGTGTTTTATTACCGAGTGCTTCCTCCAGCTCTGAGCATATCTGAAGAATACATATCAAATCTTAAGTGGCTATTAGTCCATCTCTCTGGCAACTCCGAGCCACCTGAAGGAGAAACCGCACCGCAGGGCACCTGTCATTCTGCAGATTATGATCAAATGAGTGTGGTTGCCATGGTTACGGCTCCTGTGAAACGGGGACTGGGAGAAGACACTGCAGCCAACACGCCGTCAGGCTCACCTGTAGGCAAGTGTGTGAGTGTGACAGTCGTTGTTATTGTGGGTAAACAAGCAGCTGGTTCAGATAACGCTGTTATGGACATAAAGAGGCGCTGCTGGAGACGTGTCTGTAATCCGTTCACTCAGTCCCTCGGCGCCGGATCAGAGATGTTGATCTAAGACCACACATAAAACGTGGCTGAAGCTGAAATGCATTTTTAAAAACGATATCAAGGACTTTTTGTTAAAACCTTCAGCAATAAGCTTTTTATTTAGTCTAATTCAATAGTATTGACTTTCTCCCCCGCTATACATCACTAGCCACTCACACTGCAAACACTGCACAAGTGACCATGTGTTAACGCGATCTTAACGTGGACGTTTTTTGTCTGTGTGAAGTCAGGGTGAGCCGATAGGAGACACAGCAGCAGGTAGTAGACACTCCGAGAAGTGATAACGTCCTGAAGGTTGAGCTAAGTTTCTTTGGCTTGCCTTTCTGCCTGTCTATCTGTTAACATGGAGGAGGCGGAGCTTATGGCCCATACTGCAGCTAGTCAGTAGGGGGAGCTCTTAATGTATTGGCTCTCGGTTTTAAAGACCAGACGACAGCTGGGTTCAGGTACTCGGCTTTAACCTAAAATCATAACTAGATTAAACTGCATCGTTCTCTGCTTGGTGTGTGTGTGTGTGTGTGTGTGTGTGTGTGTGTGTGTGTGTGTGTGTGTGTGTGTGTGTGTGTGTGTGTGTGTGTGTGTGTGTGTGTGTGTGTGTGTGTGTGTGTGTGTGTGTGTGTGTGTGTGTGTGTGTGTGTGTGTGTGTGTGTGTGTGTATTTTGTGACTATCTGTCCAACAGCCACGCAGGTACACACTAAGAAACACACTCCTCAGAGTTCATGGCCTCTGTGATAAAGTTAATCCTGTGTTATGAGTTCTCAGATCCTTCAAACCTTTCTAGTTTCACAGGCCGGACAGAAGAGAAAGAATAAAAGAGGAAGTGACTTATCATCTATAAGTCTAAAAACTATCCCCATGATCGATTTTTCCATGAGGCTTCATGTTTGTGTGTTGGACTGCTTGTGAGTCTTTTGCTCTCCGGCTGCATTCAGCTCCAACTATTGTCGCTGAGCTTGTGTCATAGTGTGTCTGCGCGGGTGTGTGTGAACACCTACCCACTTACATATTTGTGAGCGAGTGTGTGAGGTGTGAAACAGCAGTGTAAGGTTACTGAAGGAGATCCATTACTTGGCCGTGGCAGCCGGCCTTAATTACAGCTAACTATAGTCGGAGCAGAGGGAGCAGGGAGGGAGAGGAGAGGAGGTGAGGAGGTGTGGAGAGAGAGACGGAGCAATGAGCGTAATTAAAAAGTCTATTTGAAACCACGAGACGATTACGCTGATGAAGTTTGTGTAATGACTTGTACAAAAATCTAATTCTTACTTAGTCCAAGCATGCAAAGCTCTTGTCTAGATTTTGTGTGTGCCTGTGTGACCGTCTCAAAAGTATAAGATAGTTTTTGCCTAAATAACATCTGAAGGACATGCAGGGTGAAGATGAAACAAAGTGTGTCATTAAAGATCCATGAAAAGTCACGGAGCGTTTGCAGAAGAAAACCAGTAAATGAAGGGTTATTATAAATGTTGTGAAGGCATGTGTGTGTTTTAAAGTAGTGCATCGACATGTAGCTGACCTGATTGACAGGTGGGCGCGGTATAACGGTTTGTCAGGAGGTTTAAAACCTGCCTCAGCTCTAGCTCTCAGCCTGTCGTTAGGTTGACTGAAAGTTAGACTGAGACAGTATTTCCAGCATGGAGACCGCCATCGATGGGACTCCAGCGCTCCCTGCAGGAACAGTTAATTTGCCGTATTTCTTTCCCACCAGCGTCTTTGCCTCGACTTTAGGTGAAGTTGAGCTGTCTTTAATTGCTTTGTGATAACTCTGAGACACTGATCTTGAACTTATGATTGGTTTGGTCATAATTGTCCGCCTTCGATGTCGAGGCTCGAGTGATAGATCGTTTATTTACTGAAGAATGGATCGATAGAACGCGCCCGTGAGGAGGATGAATTAGACCTCATGTCTAAAATCCACACGAGTTTGAAGACATTGTTTTCATATTTATAGATTGATTAATGTCTTGAATATTTGTGTAGCCCCACCACCCACCCAAGAACTCTTTGCTTAAAGTCACACACACACATATGCAGACACACCTGTCGTTAATGCTCACACATCGTCGTGGTGACATTTCCCTTTTTGTTTGTCTTTTCTAATTAGCAGTCTTCCTTTCACATTGTACATAATCAGCCAATCGGCGGAGCCTGCTCATTACCCAGGGTTCATTTGGGGGTCTTTGTCAAATGAGGAGTGAAAGTGACAGTCCAATCTAACCCCAGCAATAAGCCCCGCATGGTCGCCTCCTCCGGCTTGTAGAGGATTGGACTCGGCTATCATCTCGGGGCACACAGGATGGCACTCTGACGCTAATTGAAATGCCACCTTGTTATTTTTTCTATGTCGTCTCTCTCCTGATCGCCCTCTTTGTTTTTCTCTTTTAGTTCTGGATGTCTGCCCTGGCCACCACCATCCCAGTGCCCTGCGGAGCCTTCATGCCAGTATTCGTCATCGGTAAGCAGCAACCAGCCCGGAGACATCCTGCCCATTAAAACAGGACGGAGCGAGGCTGGCTCTTTAATTTTGACATATATATTTGAAATGAGCTCAAAGTTCCTAAAGCAGGATTTACATCACATGCATGTTGTTAACTGAATAAAATAGAATTAAAAAAATAACCTACAAAACTTATAACGCTCGTCTTGCAGCCATCCAACTTTCTAGAATGGATATAAAAATGCTAGCAGCAAGTTAGTTAGCTAGGTAGTTAGCTCAGTGGAAGGATGTCTTATTAGTTAAAGGAGGAGTCAGTAGAAATGTTTGTAAACACAAATTTCAAACGTGGCCCCTCCTTTTGGGCTCATTGCCCCCCAGAAGCCCCGCCCCCTGCAGGACGTAGTGTGTGCGTTTACTGCTTGTAACTACACTGCAAGCTAACACACGCTAGCACAAGCTAACCGCCGGTGTTTGTCACTTGCCTGTCCAACAGGAAGCAGAACAACTCCACGTCCACGAGTAAAAGACAACACAAGGTTCACCCTCGTTTTAGAACGAGCTTTATCCGCTTGGTGTTTCTCCTCACTATGATTATATTTTCTCTTCTTTGCTGCTACGTCCACGTCCGTCATATTAACCGGTTTGAATCGTCCAATCACTGAACTGTATCCACTCCTAAACTCACCTGCTGCGCTGTCATTGGCTGGAGGAAACACACCAGCTCCGCCCAGAAACATCCAGAGTCAACCAGAACAAACCAGAACAGTAAAATCCAGCCAGAGGACAGAGTCTCTGCAGACACAGTCACCACCACACATAATAACTTTATTTATATAGCACCTTTTAAAAACACAGGTTCACAAAGTGCTTTGACAAACAGCAAAAACAAGAACAAAGCAAACTAAACCAAACACAGAAGAACATTAACAACAGTAAGAAAATAACAGATGCAAAATACAAAAAATAATTAAATACAATTCAACAGAAAAGAACACAAAGTGTACAATACCCAACAGACATATATAACCCGACCATCACAAGAACCATTATAAGAACCCAGGCAACACAAGAACCCAACAACACGAGCTGAGACCAAGAGGACCAAAGATTTAAAAAGATGTAAGAAACTGAAAGAGCTGAAAAAAATAAATAAAAAGATAACAGTAATAAGAAGGTAAGAGCAGTAGAAGAAATAGAAACAAGTGGTTAAAGGATCAAAAAACCCCAAACTATAATATTAATAAAAATAAAAAGTAAATATAAATATGAAACATAAATAGACTAAGTAAGATCAGAAATTACCAAGTTAAAACACAAGAGGAGATTAAGATATGAGCATAAATACGAGATAAGAGCATAAATAAAAGAACAGTAAGAAGTAAAAGAAGATAAAAATAGTAAACCAGTAAGAAAGACATTAAGAAGACGACATCACATAAAAGCAAGTCATGTACGGAGGCCCAGAAGGGACGATGGAGCAGCTTTACTTTAGGAGAAGTCTGTATTTTATTTCGAAGGAGGCAGGATACTGACTCTACCTTTAATGTTTACTTTATTAATTTAAAGATCATTTCTATTTACTTACTAGTCTGGATTGGACGAGGACTTTCAGTGGAGTGATACATAGCAGAGAATTTTTAAGAAGATTTTTAACTATTAGGTTTCTTTAACCATTTAAAAAGTGTTGAAACTGAGATACTGTCTTTGTTTTTCAAACATTCAGACTACAGCAGCTACTTAACACCACTCAGTTCACAATGGCCCTCAGTACTGACTGTCGCTGTGTTTCTTTGTGTTCCTGTTCCTGTTGGTCTCAGGGGCAGCTTTTGGTCGCCTGGTCGGAGAGAGCATGGCAGCCTGGTTCCCAGATGGCATTCACACGGACGGCACCATTTACTCCATCGTGCCAGGAGGTTACGCTGTCGTCGGTACGTGAAGGACACACTCATGGTTCTTTACCTATTACACTGAACAGTCTGACTCTCATCACTGCTGAAGAGTCATACTCAGTCCGTTTTCTCCCGTCTATAAACAGAATTCAAATCATTAGAAGCTGAAGTTTGTCTCCTTCATAACCAGTTCAGCTGCTGTTGAGTGATGTTAATGTTTTAATTTCTTCTCATTACGATCTTGGCAAGGCATCACTGCCTTCACTCTTCTCACCAACACTTAAAGAAAACTGAATATTTCTTGCAGCCTGACGCCTCAGTTTACAGTTTAGAAGTAAATATGACGTGAGGAATATATAGTCAGCCTCAAATGCTTCAGACTGAATCTGTTACATTTAAGAGATTCCCAGATGAGACGTTAAAGAAATAAAAGACAAACCTCGAAGATTTACGAGCCACAGTGCTGCTGCCAGGAGGAACTTTCTGTTGATGTTGCATCATTAAATAAAATAATGTCAAAGATTTCCTTTACCCCTTGAAAGTCAGTGATATGAATTCCACATTTTGAATTTGTCCTGCAGCTGTTGAACAGTTAAGTCCTCTCTGTGTGTCGTTACTCTGCTTCATGGTGTGTAAAAACTGAAAATATACCAGAATAATGCACTTAACTTTTTAACAAAAGACAAGATTTTGTCATCATTAAAGCAACCACAGGAACATTTGCTTCTGCCATGACAGCTCTGATAGCAACTGCTTTTTGTCATACCTTTAAGGTCCAATCAGTAAGATGTGTAGTGAGTGAAATGATAAAGTGACCTTACTATATGATCAGACATTAAGGAAACATGCTATGTTGAAGTGCTGGCTTCTCTGACAACAATGCAGCAGCCAGTATGTCCTCCTTCTAACTTTAGATTCTGGTCCTGAATGCTCTGGATTTGTTTGGACCAGAGAAGGTAGGCAGTTTTAAGACACCCCCACAAGGCGTTTTGGACACCCCTCAGTTTTCCAGATATGAGAGCAGTTATCAGGTCAAACCAACAGGTGTTGCAGCGATGGAAGCGGGCAAGAGAAGTGGTTCAGATAGAAGTGATTGTATCTGACCTAAAAAGCCTCTGCATGTTTCTAATAAGCTCCACGAGCAGAAACGTGCTCAAACTAGGATCAATATTGGAGATGCTTTTGAAAAATGGAGAGAGGTTAGAACACAGAAAGGTTTACAGACCGATGCAGAGCTGGATAAACACTGAAGCTTCAGTGTCCACCACATGGCAACCTGTGTGAACATGGACTCTAGGCAGGAGGGGGGGGACAGATCTCTACAATGTTTAGAATTTAGACTGCAGTACCCATTTTAAACACTGGGTGTCAGAGTTACATATTGCTCCTTTAAGTTCTGTCCGATCGATCACATTTTTTAAACTAATTGTAGATAAACTGTTGTTTGCATCAAATAAATGCTACTTTTATGTAACAGATGGAACATGTAATGTAACAGAAAGTGTACTTCCTGTCCTGCAAACACCAGCTGTGCTTTCATAATGATATCTCCATGCCCGCTGGTGCTGCTGGTCTAATGAGATGCAGCGCCGTCATGTTCTCCGCCATGCTACTTGTTGACAGCTGTGCTGATAACGCCGCTGTTACACGTCGGTGGCGGCTGCTCTTCTCAGGCTGCTGATGTTGTCGTTGTGGTCGTGGTTCTCCGTAGCAGATGACTCAGCCTGTTACCGGCCTGTCGCTCTGATGAGCCTCTTTCATCGCAAAGCCGAGCTCGCTTTAAGGACTAAATGTTACGCCGGGCAGTGGGAGCAGCAGCATTTATCAGAGGCGGGACGGCAGATGTACAAAAGGCTTAATTAAGTTACGAGGAAGAACAATGAAAGCTTTCTGCGTAGGCTCTAACACACACCATCTGTTTCTCTCACTCTCTCTCCGCTTGCCCCTCTCCTTCACTTGATTCGAATGCTTTTTCCAGCGTTCATCTCGTTCATTGGATTGGACTCATCCATTTTCTCTGTCAAGCAGTGAAGGCTCACTTCACCCCATGCTGCACTGTGTGATCAGATGCAGCTTTTATATGAGAGATTTTGTGTCTCCCTTTGTTATTGAATCAGCTGAATGAGAACATTTTCTCTGTTAGCGAGCACGAGGAGGAATGAGACTTCAGTTTGTTGGAGTACAAACAGATCGAGGGTTAAAAGTGCTTTAAATATATAATGTGAAATATTGCCGCCTGCACAGTGCTGCAGTGGTTAGTGCTGTCGTCTCACAGCGAGGAGGTTCCTGGTTTGAATCCCCGTCTGACAGGAGCCTCTCTGTGTGGGGTTTGCATGTTCTCCCCGTGAATGTGTGGGTTCTCTCCGGGATCTCCGTCTTCCTCCCACAATCCAAAGACATACTCGTTAGGTTAACTGCTGACTCTAAATTGTCCGTCGGTGTGAATGTGAGTGTGGCTGGTTGTCTGTCTCTATATGTCAGCCCTGTGATTGACAGGTGAACAGTCCAGGGAGTAACCCCGCCTCTCAACCGATGACAGCCTCTTCGTGACCCAAAAAGCAGACGAAACCATCAGAGAAAAGTTTGAATGTATTGTTTTATGTAACGCCTTAAGCTTCTGTGGCAAGGTAGATGTCAGACGAAGTGATTTACAGAAATCCTTCCAAACAACCTTTTTCTTTTTCAAATTTCCACGCCAGAGATGCACATTAGGCATTTGAAATAGAGCAGAGAGAAATGTATTGTCCGAAAACATTGCTTACACATGCAGAGGACAGGAGGAGACACGGAGATAAATCCTCCCGATGTGTCTGCAGGGGGCGTCGACGTTGACACAAAGAGAGCGTGTCTTACAGCAGCTTGTAATCAGAGGTTTGTGTCATAGATTAAAGGAGATTACAAGAGAAAATGATGAACGAATTATTCAGGTGCTTAAAATAAACATGGCAACGTGTAAAACTCAGAGGGAATATCTGAACATGAAAGTGTTTTTTTGTTTTTTTTTAAAACTTGAGACCGACTCATGTTTTGGCGCCCTCTTCCATTGCTGATACGGTTTCTGTTTGCAGAACTGAGCACGTCTGGTCGGACGTGAGAAACTCGTCCAGGGCTTCAGTTGTTTGTATTCCTCAACATTTTCTCTATATGCTTCTCTTTGATCTTGTTAAAGTATAACTGGTTACCGTTTGAAATCCTAATCGATGTCACTGTTCATTCATTTGATGCATGATGCCCCTGAAGGACCCCCCTTATGGGGCCGGAGACCTGGTCTTCAAAACCACTGTGCTTAACAAATGCATGCCGACAGCTCCTCTTTGTCCTCTGCTCATGACGCTGTCCTCTCTCCTCCCCTAAAGGTGCTGCGGCGTTGTCAGGAGCGGTCACACACACTGTCTCCACCGCTGTCATTATATTCGAGCTGACGGGACAGATCTCCCACATCCTGCCAGTGATGATAGCGGTGATTCTGGCCAACGCCGTGGCCCAGTCCCTGCAGCCCTCGCTCTATGACTCCATCATCAGGATCAAGAAGCTGCCCTACCTCCCTGAGCTGGGCTGGGGAAATCACGAGTACGTACATTTGAGCATCACACATCACATGACATCACATGAGGAGATACTTTAACCAGCATGAAACTCCGGTAGCTGCTGTGATGTAAGACAACTTTCAGAGGTGGACAAAGAAGTCATATCAATCCATCAACATTAATAGTTCAAAAGCTCAACATTTAAAGATAATAGTACAGAAACAATCCAAATATCAGCAGCGATTGTCGAGTATTTAAAGAAGGGAAATTAAATGATGTCAGTCCTGTGATTGGCTACAGGAAGTCACATTCACATGACCGGCAAAAAAGCCGTTTTTACAGCAGAAAAAAACATGTTCACAGCCGGGTTCAAAAAAACAAAATATTTCTGATTAGTTTTTCTCCTCACTATCACACACTGTAGGGGGGTGAATTTGTTTAAAACGGCTCCGTTTTGACTTTGAAAACGATACGTGTTATCCATAGTAGTAACGGTTTTTCAGGAGGTTTAAAACCTCCTCAGCTCCAGCTCTCAGCCTGTTGTTAGGTTGACTGAAAGTTAGACTGAGACAGCATTTCCAGCATGGAGACCGCCATCGATGGGACTCCAGCGCCCCCTGCAGGAACAGACGGGTGACGTCACTCAGGCTTCGTCCGTTAATATTTTCAGTCTGTGCTTCTAACAGGCAGCTTTCACACCTTCTGACTTCACAGGGAGGGTTTGGACAGAAAGACAAACCTGGGTGGAGGTGCCTTGTCCGGTGTCACAGCATGATGTAGCCTTTAATTGCTTTAACCCCCGATTCATAATTCAAGCCGACCACACAGTGCCGAGTGGGATGCTGTGCTCCACACAGAGGTGCTTTTCATTTCATTGTTTGGAGACGATTATTGTTTTGGATGCTGGCAAACCATTAGGTGGAGATAATGGTTAGGATGCATCATGCACAAAGTGGGAGCGATGAGGACATTTTTTATTTCATCCTCCATCTGTTAATCATTTTCTGTGGCGGTTTTCTGAAGGGGTTCGTCCCTGTCTGCTACTTGAGTCATCCACTTTCTGCATCAGCACCTCAGTTGACCCGGGCTATCCATCTCATCGTTCTCTGCTCCTCTCTCTCTCTGTCTCCTCCGCCGTCGTCTTCTCCTCTGTCTCTCCTTATTATCGACTGTGACCTCATGGCCTCTCCAGCCCGTCCTCGGCCTCCTCTTCTGTCTGTAAGTGTGTCTGAGAGAGAGAGGAGAAGAGAGAACACTGCGTGTAATGTGAGCTGAGGTGTCA